AATATGACACATATATATTATATGTTTTGGCATATATATTATATAAATAACATATATTATATATATATGCCATACCTGTAGTATAAAGAACGATCTTTGAACCACTTGATTGCCAATGGATCCTCTCACTAGCTGGACCATAGGCCCCAGAGGTCTGGTGTGAGGTCTGTCTTGCTCACCACTATATACCTGCAGCATCCAGTGCAGGGACTGACACGCAGAAGCCATGTTATTAGCTGCCCATGGATGATGAATGGATGGCTGTTCTGGCTTTTGTATTTGGTGAGGACGTCTTTCCTCACTCAAGGGTTTAAGTTTTTCCCTTTTCAGGCCTCCTGGCTCCACCACCCTTTATCCCTGCGTGCCAAGCCTTGCTGAGCCTGTGAAGTATAAAATGTGCTGTGAGCCAGAATCTTGAGAGTGGGATTAAAAATAAATGAAATGGCATGAAAACAAGTTAACCACAAGCAATGGCTTTCCAGGGTAATTTCAGGGTAATTAGGCATCAGTGGTAGAGGCAAGGACAGAGCGCAGACTCTAACTGCCAAGAGTTCCTATCAACACCACTACTGTGTCAGGCAGAGAATGCACTGGGCCTCGCTTGAGCCTTTCCATGACCCTCCATTCCTGGGAGACATCAAGCAAGACCGTCCCGGTCAGGGACAGGTCAGGGAAGACAGGTTCTAGTTCCAGCCCTGCTGCTCACCTGCTGGGTGGATCCTAGGAAAATCCTTGCCCCTTTGAGCCTCAGTCTCCTCATCCGTGAAAGAGGTTAATAATAGGATCTATCTATTATCAACTATCAAGCACAGAAAACAAGGGTACCCACCTCATGGGCAGAAGTTCACAGCACCCTTAGCATCTCTGCAATTTTTTCACAGTGTGCCAGGCTCAAAGAAATATCAGAGGGTTGGGGTGCCTGGGTGGCTCAGTCAGTTAAGAGTCTGCCTTCAATTCAGGTCATGATCCTAGGGTCCTGGGATGGAGCCCCGTGTCAGGCTCCTGGCTCAGCAGGGAGCCTGCTTCTCCCTTTCCCTCTGCCCCTCCTCTCTGCCTGTTTTCTCTCTTTCTCTCTCTCTCTCTGTCAAATAAATGAATAAAATCTTAAAAAAAAGAAAGAAAGAAAGAAAGAAATACCAGAGGGTTGTTCATTAAGCAGTTAGGTTCGAACAACTTAATAGTAGTCTGCCCAGCACCCAGCATATGTCATTGTACCTCCCTCAAAATTGTAAAATATTTTGCAGTGTCTCTGTGAGTTTTCTGCAGGGCCTCGGGGGTGCCAGGGCACATGGTTTGAGAACTGCAGCCCTAAGGTTTTGAGGCTGAAACAGGGTTATGTGTGTCGGGGGCTTAGCATGATGCCTGGTCTAGAGTAGGTCAATAAATGTTGGTGGTCCTAAATTATCCTTCAACTGTCATTCTGAAATCAGCATCTCTCTCATTCTTTCTGCGTCTCCCGCCAATGCCACAGCAATTCCTTCTGCCTCGGGCTCCTGGCACCTCCTGGTTTCTGCTTGCCACCTTCCCCCGGGGCCCCTCCACACCCAGGGCCCCTCCTCACCAAACTTCCTTCCTGGTCTAGAATTGGGGTTCCCTCTTCTCCACTCCTCCCTGACTCCACATGCTGGCAGGATCTCTTTGCGGGCGGAGTGGGTGTCCCTGCCTCTTCACTTTGGGCTGGGCCACGTGATTCTCTCTGTCCAGTGGTACCCGGCAAAGTGACAGCGCGGCAGTCTTGAGTCTCGGCCGAACGAGGCGTTGCAAGGTTTCACTTGCTCTCCCATCCTTTGCCATTGGCAAGAGAAAAACCCGCTTAGTGATTCCAGTGGCCCACGGAGCAGGTTCAGAGCTGCACCCCCGCAGACCATCCCAGTCAAGAGCGAAAAGAAGTGATTGGTGTTGGAAGGTATGGCATTTTGGAGAGCTGTGTCACAGTGTTCCGTGACAATCTGACCTCTCCATCGGTGGCCAATTCCCCTTCTCTGAGAGAAAACCTGATTGAGTCATTTGGTCACCACGCAGGACCCAGCTCCTTTCACACCGTTTCATACCCGCAAACTGCCCTGTCCTATCTGCAGGCAGCTGCCTCGGGCTGGGCCACCCACCTCTGACCCAGACAATTGCCTGTAATTACAGGGTCATGGGACACACAGCCTGGAGACTTGCCTGGGAGAAATCATTTCTGGCCCCTGTGGTTAGGAGGTATGTGAAATGTGGCAGACAAGAGTTTCTCGGACCCTCTCTGGTTCTAAGGAGTAACCGCAGAACCAGGAGAAATTGCACCTAAAATTTTCTCTGCGTGTGGCAGAATACATCTCAGGCTGTAAACCCCGGGGCACAAGAAAGTTGACATTTCTTACAACTCAGTTTGGTCACTATTTTGAGTCTCATTCTACCTAAGATGGAAAAGATGAGGCCCAAGTTCACATAGAAAGTTTGGTAGAGCTGGGGGTTAGATCCCAGGTGTCCTGGCTTCCAGTAGGGACCCCTTTTCTTGCCTGGTGGATCACGGGCTTGCCGGGAGCCCCAGGTCCCGCCTCCAAGACAGTGGAGCCCCCCTTCCCCATCACTCAGGCTGTGCCTCCTCACTCCACTGAGTGCCTGCTGGGAAGAATTCTGCACAGCACTTTCCTCCCGCTGCATCCCCGTCTGCCTCCCTATAGGTCCTCTACCCACCGCCCTAGCTCTGAATCCAGGACTACTCTAAAGGTACACTCTTTTTTTCTTTAATTTGTAAACATTTGCTTTCATTTTTACTTCTATGAATTTGATTTAGTTCTTTTTTGAATCTGCCTTTTTTAGTAATCTTTTCTGTTTTTTATTCCTTTTTGTAATGAATTTAATTCTTTCCAAAATCCTTTGCTGTTACCTTCATCTGAAGTTGTTGGGAGAAGAGGGGCCTAACCCTGCTGTTGACGGTGTCTGCTGACTCTCACTTATGGTGGCTGGTTCCCTTGTAATTCTGAATTCTGAATTCCTCTGTAGGGGAGCTTTGGCTCTGGGCAGCTTGTGCAGCCTGGGTTGAGGGCAAGTCCCTCCAAAATAGGTTGAGTTGGTTTTGCTGGTCCCCTCAGCTCTTTGTCTGGGATCACCGTGTTAGTTCTTAGTTTGGGGTTCCTAGTTCATGTGGCTAGAATAAATTATTTTAAACCCCATGTGAGAATATATCTTATTTATTTCCATCATAATATTAATTTGATTATTGTTTGTTTCCATCCACTCCCACGTCCTCCAGAAAAGTGGGACCTATGTCTCTCTGATTTGGGGTCATATCCGCAGTGCCTAGAGCAGAACTTTGGCACATGGTAGACACTCAATAAGTGTTAACTGAAAGAAACAACTAAAAAATACCCACTTGATAGTGTGTTGTGAAGAATAAATGGTGTGTCCGTAAGCCTGTGTTTGCCCAATTAAAAATGAGGTTTTATTGTCTCACATAACAGGCCGATGCTGTTGGTGATGCTGTGACTCAGTGGTTTCTAATGTCTCTGCAATTTTTTTGGTCTTTGTCTTAGGGTGGCAAGATGATTACTGTAGCTCCAGGCATCATGTCCACGTTCCAGGCCAAAGGAAGGAGAAGAAAGTTGGAGTTTAGGGGGAGCTTCATTGACATTTTTCCTTTTATCAGGAAGGTAAGTTTCCCTAGAAGTCTAACAGCAAATTTCTGCTTTGATCTCCTTTTCTAGAAATGGGTCGCAAGGACACCCCAGAAGCTAGGGAACCTGGAAAGTGACTCTATGGAGAAGTGAGGAAGGAGGGAGGGGATTAGGGACATAGATGCAGTATCTGCCCCAAATGGGGTCCTATCTATGTAAAGCACTTGGAGAAAACTAAGCCTTCAGAAAGGGACAACTATTCTCATAATTATTAATTCATAATTCATAATATATTGATAATTATTATCATTGAAAGCTTTACAGTCACTATGATCCTGTTGGCATCAGACTTTGGACTCTGGAACCCCTGGGTACTGAAGTGCCCATACCCCAGTGGTCTCCCTCCCTCCCTCCTTATTCTGTTCAGAGCACTGAAGCCCTTTAAAAAAAAAAAAAGCCAACTACATTTTTCCAACGTAAGCCACGTCCTGCTCTCATTAACTCCATCCTCAGTGACTTAGCCAGACCCTCCTCCCTGCTGGAAGCAGGTAGGAGAGACTGTACAAATCAAAGGTCCCTCGGGCCCATCAGCAGGTCAGTGTCAACATTCCCTCCAAGGACGCTGCGATGAAAACAGAAGAGCCAACCCCAAGTCTTGGGCAGACCCTGGAGTGGCTGCGAAAGGAGCTGGTAAGGCTTTGCATTTCTTTTCACCTGATGACTCCACCCCATATCTTCTCAGGTTCCCTGGGACCCCCTCGCAGGAGCCCCCTGGCTGGGGCAGAGGCTGCAGCTAGGGTGTAGGTCCTGCGGGCTCCCCCCACCCACCTCCGATACCAGCCGTAAAGGGCACAATCGCTGTCTCGGGTGCCTGGATAAGTAGGTCGTGGCCTACATAGGAGGAGGCTCTGGGTGCAGTGCCAGCCAGACTGGCCTTAGAATTACACCGGGTCCTGGGAGTGTGCCCAGCTCTGTACTGTGTGGCCCCTGCCGGCGGCTTTACTTCTGTGAGCCTCAGTTTCCTTACCATACAATGGGGATGATAATGGTACCAACATTGCTGGGGCTATTGTACTAGTTGGGGAAGGAGACAAGTGTAATCCACTTTGTGTCTGCTTGGCTGTCACCACTGTTGCCCAGCACACCCACTGTCCTGGCCCAGACCCTCTAGAAAGCAGAAGCCCACACAAGGATTGGGGTCCTAATGATTTATTTGGAGATGCAGCTCAGAGCGGTGAGAGCGAAGGAAACAGGGAGCGGTGGCAAAGGGCGATGCTATGTGAGATGATGCCCCTTGTCACCAAGCAGGCCACCACTTTGCAAGGGGCCTCGAGAGGCCCAGCGCTCTCTCAGCAGCTGGTTTTCTTGGCTGCAGGCTTCTCTGCAGGAGGGCAAGGGGAGCTGCACCCTGGGGGGAGGGAAGAAGTGGAACTCAGCCTGCCCAGCTCACTGCTGTTTCCTGTTTGCTGTGGTAAAGATCCACTCCGGAGGCATTAACTCTCCTGAATTTATGGATTATGTTACTTGGTCCCTTGGGGGCTGCTCAAGAAGCCAGGCCTTATGACCCTCTTTGCGCTGTTTTCTCCAAGTCCAAAAATAGAAGGATGCCCCCAAAGTGCATGGGGACACCAGGCAAGAGAGAGAAAGAAGTGGTTCGGGGAACCTCAAAAAGCACCCAAGGTTTGGATCCCAATAGGCCAGGTTCTCAGTCAGGGGAGAGACACATGGGATTATCCAAAAATGACCTTTCTGGGTTGCCAGGTAACAGACCAGCTGGGACCTAATCCTGTCCTCACCCTAGTGGGTAGGGCTGACCCAATAGGGCCTCTCATGGACCAAGGGACTCCAGCAGCAGGAGAGGCAGCTTCTCACAGTCCACAGGGATCCAAAGGCTGGGCAGGGGCCTTCCCTATGCTCCCCTAAACACTGGGCTCCCACACTGAGTCTGCTTGGTGCCTAAACCCAAAAGGCCAATATCCACCTGATAAGGTAACTCTCTCTCACCACATAAAGAGGGGAAACAAGGCAGGGCTGGGGGAAGTCCACCTGGGGCACAGCCTCCCAGCCCCAAGCACCTCCCTCCACATGATGCCAAGAGACGGGAGCCTTGAGTCTCCATTTACGGATGCCAGACTTGTAAATTTCCCAGGCGAGCCTGTTTTATCCTCGATCACGTGGAATTTACATGACTCCAAAAGGGCACCTAAGCTCAGCCAAGAGGCTCCATTTGACGGTCAGGGAAGGATCAGTCCTGGACAGTGACTTCATGCAGCAGAAGGAACAAATTGGTAACATGACTACCATGGACAATAGTCCGGTGCTCTCCCCTCCCTTTATGGCCCTTATGTGATGAGGATCATGGAAGCCCCAAAGATCTGGTGGGATCTAAAAGAGGGGAGAGAACTGCCGCCATCTTGTGACAGGGCAAACCAGCCTGATGACTAAGGGCATTCAGAGGCAGGAAAGAGCTTTCAGTGCGGAACTTGAGCAAACTGAGCCCAGAGCACGCCTTATCACCGCAGGACCTCTCGCCCCATGAGATGGGACACCTCCCTCCTGCGGAAGCCAGTTTGCTCAGGATTCCCGGCCCTCAACTCCAAGGGCATGGAGTCTTCCACCCCCCTTACCACTGCTTCCCTGCTGGGTGCCTCACTGCGTTCTCCCGAGCATGGACCCAGAGCGGTGCTAAAGGTTGAATGATAAAAATGTGTGGGAGGAAAACCCTAAAATTGAGAAAACACAGACTTAAAGTTTTCCCAAGAATTTGGGAAGGCATGGCAAGGGTGGCCCTGCTACCACTCGCACTGCAACCTGGGGAGCCCCAGTGTTCTCAGGAGGTGGTTCTCCCTCCTTCCATCTACTCTCTTGGAAGGACAGCTACTGCTGGAGTGCGGGAGATGGGCTTTATCTTCACACCTGTGAAGTAATTAGTTTGTCATGAAAATAAAAGGCTATTCTAGTGGAGAAATAATGTTAATAATTATCTCTTAAAGAGACAGACAGACAGATGGGAGGGATACTGTTCCCAGTGACGCCTCTGGGGGAGCAGACTGGGTTGCGGGAGGCGGGGGATGAGATGCGGGAAACTTCCCCACATGCCCTTTTGTAGCTCCTCAATTTTGTATCATGTGTGAGAATTACCTAGTCAGAAAAGGAAAGTTTTAACGTCTTATTAAGTGAGTTACATCTACCAGTGTGGACAAAGGAGAAATTTTTAGTGTTTAGTTAATGCATTTAAAAAGAACAATAGTAAACTCCTTAATGGTAGAAAACTGCTGGGTTCTCCTATCTGCTTCTGCATGCAATCATATACCATATCATGCATCACGTAGCTTCTGGAAAACTCCACTGTAGGCTCATAAGAGGATGAAAGGGCAGACAATATCTTAGTATTGTAATGAAAGTCGTTTTGACCTTCCTGAACCCCTGAAAGGGTTTCTGGGATCCAAGGGTTCTCTGGACCTTACGTTGAAGATCACTGTTCCAAATGGCTCCTGCCTGCCTATAGGGTGCACTCCACTTTGCTTTAACATGAAGTCACTTTCACCTTAGTACCTATAAAGTGATTTGTTTGTTGCAGTGAGGATTAAAGCATACAGAGGGGTTGTAAATAAGAATAACATTTGATAATGATGATGATGACGAAGATGATCACAGAGCTTGGTTAGTTGAGCATCTCATATTTTAAAGATTTATTTATTTATTTGAGAGAGAGAGCATGAGTATGGGGGCAGAGGGAGAGGGAGAGACAGAATCTCAAGCAGACTCCCTGCTGAGCGCAGAGCAGGATGCAGGGCTCAATCCCTTGACCCTGAGATCATGACCTGAGCCCAAATTAAGAGTCCGGGGCCCAACTTACTGAGCCACCCAGGTGCCCCAAGCATCTTGTATTTTAGAGCACGGGCTAACTCATTCAGTCCTCCTAAGGGCCTTGAAAGGTAAGTAATTTGCTTTCCACTTTGCAGATGAAGAAACTGAGGCTTGGGTGGACACGGCTTCTGCGAGGCTGTGGGGTTTGTCTCCAATGAGACAGTGATGTGGGAATAAGCTTTCTGGGGAACGCCCAGCCCCCTCACACTGATTCTCTCTCCCAGGCTGAGATGCAAGTTCAAGACCAGAGACTCCTGCTCACATTGAGGCATCTTCACAGTGTCCTGCAGGAGCTGCGCACTGAGAGTGCCCCCTGGGAGGACGCCAGGTCCAGCGGAGGGACGTCCCCGATCAGAGCTCGAGCAGGCTCGGAAAGCAGGGGCCGCCCCCCCATCTCCTCCCAGGGGCTCGCCCAGCTCCTCCAAGGGACAGAAAGCAGACGAAGCTCCCTCCCTTAACTGGTCAGGCCTGACCCCGGTGCTTGAACCCTCCCACCACCTGTCCAAACTTTGTGATGTTGCTGGGGGAGAGCACTACAATGGGAGTCAGGGAGCCAGGGCTCTGGGTTCTTCTCCGCCCTCATCCGCGGCTTGTCCCTAAACCCGTCACTCGACTCCTTTTCTGCTGTTCCTCAGGGTTTTTGGTGAGGCACAAATAAGATATCAGATGCGGACGTACTTCTTAAACACTGGCCTCTGGCCAGTGCCATGACAGCAATCCTGCCCTCCGGCATTTCCCTCCAGGAGATCGTCAGGACAAAGAACTCAGTGTGCGCCCAGGATGTTTCGCGTTGCTATGGTGAAAAACAGATTTTTTTCCCCCGCCCCCCCTCAGAGTGACTCCGCAATTCTTCTCTGTCTTCCCGGCACACCTGCCCTTTCCTCTGTCTGAAAGCCATAGGCCACCACTCTGGCCCGAGGGATGACCATGTGACCAGGCCTGGCCAATAATAACTCGTGATCACCCTAACAACATGATTGGCCCAACGGGGCGCCACGTGACTCAACAGAGCAGCCAATCACAGCCCTTCTCTGGGATCCCTCTCTGGATTGTCTTGCCATCGCAGTTGCAAAGCGGGGGACAGCCAAGGGCCCCGTGCCCTGCCAGGTGAAGGACACCTGAGCCCAGTAGGAAAGAAAGAGAGGTAGAGGGAGGGCCATAGAGCTGTGCAGAGAGGAAGGTGCTAGCTCCTTTCAGTCCCTGGTTTCAGGCCCTAGTTTTGTGAGTTACTCCTGCATTCTTTCCATGACAGAAACCAGTAAATCCCACCACCACCATCCTCCACCACATAACACCAATTTGGTTTTGCTTAAGCTGACTTGAGGAGTGTTTCCCTCCCGGGCAACCGACACGATCCTGAGGAACGCAATCCAGATGTTCCAAGAAGCAAAGAGAAATGCTGAAGAAAAGGGCATTTCGCTCACTCAGGGTTGGCAACAGCCCTGCGGCCGCAGACCGAGGTCTGTGATGTGGCAGAACGCTCAGTTGTACGGGGTGCTGGCCTCATCACTTTGACAGATTATATCTGCCTATAAGAAAGACTTTAAATAAGACAGCAGAAAATTTAAAAGGCCTCATGTTGAGATGGCCCAATTCTTGGGGCGCCTGGGTGGCTCAGTCGTTGGGCGTCTGCCTTCGGCTCAGGTCATGATCCCAGGACCATGGGATCGAGCCCCGCATCCGGCTCCCCGCTCGGCGGGAAGCCTGCTTCTCCCTCTCCCACTCCCCCCGCTTGTGTTCCCTCTCTCGCTGTGTCTTTGTCAAATAAATTAAAAAAAAAAAAAAGATGACCCAATTCTTGGTAGGACTTTTTATTTTTGAAAATCCACTTGCATGTTGTTGGAATATCGTTTTTATGGCTTTGAAAAAGTAAACCCATTGTATACAGAGGCAAAGGGGGGGAAGTGTGTTATACGTACAATGTTTATAGTCAGACTAACCTGGGATCTTAATACAATATTTGATAGTATAAAAAATACTTGCCTAGCAACAGCTGAATGGGTAAACAAAATGTGGTACATACATAAAATAGAATATCGGTCAGCCTTAAAAAGGAAGGAAATTCTGGCATGTGCTACAACATGGGTGACCCTTGAAGATATGATGCTAAGTGACATGAGCCAGTTACAGAAGGACACTGTATGATTCCATTTACATGAGGCACCTGGAGTAGTCAAATCTGCAACGACAGAGAGTAGAAGGGTGGCTGCCAGGAGCTTAGGGAGGGGGCAATGGGGTGTTAGTGTCTAAAGGGTACAGAGTTTCAGTTTTGCAAGATGAAAAAAGTTCTACGGATAAATGCTGGTGGTGGTGGTATAACAGTGTGAATATACTTGATGCCACTGAACTGCATGCTTAAAAATGGTTAAAATGGGGGCATCTGAGTGGCTCAGTCGGTTAAGCACCTGCCTTCAGCTCAGGTCATAATCTCGGGGTCCTAGGTTGGAGCCCTGCTCAGTGGGAAGTCTGCTTCTCCCTCTTCCTCTGCCCCTCCCCCTGCTCATGTGCACTCTCTCTCTCTCTAATGAATAAATAAAATCTTTTAAAAAATGGTTAAAATGGTAACTTTTACGTTGTTATATTTTACCACAATTAAAAATAAATACTTAAAAAAATACCTGTACTGTGATACTGGGGCTGGAACCCCGAAAACCACATTTCTGTGTTACCAGCTGCTCCGGGTTCGACTTTGAGAGGCTTTGCCAACAAGCAGGGTGAGCCTGGAGGGACACTGCAGGGCTAGAGCAGAGAGAACGAGCTTGCTTCTTCATCTCCGTTCTCTGCAGCTGCCCATGGGCCCCAGTTCCTGGGAGCACCAGCCAGCAGGGCTGCTTCTCACGGGAGCATTTCTCTTCTCAAGGTTCTAGGTCCCTGCCCCGAGGGGCCCTTCTCCCAAAGCCAGAGACACCAGCTCCAGATGACTGGAGCCTCCTCCCCTAAAGCCCAGTTGCTGCCCCATCTGGACCTTCTTGGGTGGGTGAGACGTGAGCCCCAGCTGAGCAGAGCTCCCTTCTCAAATTTCTGAAGTTTACTCCCCAGGGCTCCTCCCCTGTTTCTAAATTTTAATAATTTTTACCCTCAGTGCTGGGGTGGTAAATGCTTCCTGGAAGCACTACCTTCATTATATCTTAGAGTTCTTTTTATAACCCTTCAGTCACCCAGTTAACAACTTTATACCTAGTTAGCAATTCTTTTTTTTTTTTTTTAGTGAGAGTGAGGGTGCAAATGTGTGGGAGGTGTGGGCAGAGAATCTCAAGCAGACTCCCCTCTGAGCATGGAACCCCAACACAGGGCTTGATCTCATGACTCTGAGGTCATGACCTGAGCCAAAACCAAGAGTTGGATGCTTAACTGACTGAGCCACCCAGGTGCCCCAGCAATTCTTTATGTTAAATTCTCTCCCTTAAATAACGGGGGTGGCTTCTGTCTCCTGCCTGTCTCTGACTGGTACAGTTCTGGCTAGTCCTACCAGTGCTGCTGGAATCACTGGTGTCTAAGTCCATGGGTGCACAAGAACAAGAGTTTCTCCAGGGCGTGTAATGGAAGGTTGAATTGGAGGTAGGTGAATGCTCAAGTTTATGAGAAACCCGTTTTCCATGGTGGGCCACTTACACTCCTAAAAGCAGTGTCTCCGAGTCCCTGTTGCTCCACATTCTCACCAACACTTGGTATTATCAGTCTTCATTGTTGCCAAGAGATTGGGTGCAAAATGATATTACATCGTGATCTTAACGTGCATGCTCCTGATTACAAACATGGTTGTTAATCTGAGTTCTCATTCCAGCTCCACCATTAACTTACTTTTTTTTTTTAGGATTTTATTTATTTATTTTTGAGAGAGAGAGAGAGAGAGAGAGAGCGTGCACAAGCAGGGGGAGTGGCAGGCAGAGGGAGAAGCAGGCTCCCCACTGATCAAGGAGTCCGATGCAGGAACCCCATCCCAGGACCCCAGGATCGTGACCTGCGCTGAAGGCAGATGCTTAACTGACTGAGTCACCCAGGCGTCCCTTCTTACTTTTTTCAATTAGTTACTCAACCTCTCTGAGCCTCAGTTATCTTATCTGGAAAAAAAAAAAAGGATAATATCTACCTCCTGGGATGATTGTACAGATTAAATGAGATAATGCATAGAAATCACTTGACCCAGCACTTGGCATCAGAAAGGCTAATAAATGGCAACTTTGTCGTTCCTGTCTTGTGATTATGTGCTAATTCATGAAACTGTGACTATTACATTTAGACAAGCTTGTTAGCAAGCATCATGGATCGAGATATCTGCCTGGCTGTGCAAAGCAGAAGGACACTGGTCTGCCATGCCCAGTGTCAACCATCAGCACCCACTGCCCCTCCCAGCTTCCCACAGCTGGACCCCAAGACCAAAAACCCCTGCCAAGTGTCCCTCTACCAATCTAGGAAGATAGACCCCTGGCCTGTCTTCTCTGCTGGGGTATTTGTTGTTCTCCAAGACCCCACATCTGGAACCAAGGTTCAGTTCCTGGTCCCCGGTCAGAGCAAACTCAGCCCAAGCCTAGAGGCTGGGGCATGGGGACTTGGAGTATAAGTGGCATCTTCAACATGGGCTCCTAGAGGGCTGGGCTGGAAATCACGTATGTCCAGAACAGACGGTACGCACCAGAGGGAGCACGCGGTCGTGGTCTCAGAAAGGAAAATCCAGTGTTCTCTCTGCTACAGCAGCAAAACAAGACTATACACCCAAGCCTTGCATCCAAGGGTGAGGAGAGGATGGGACAGAGATGTGAAAAAGGAAGATGAGGTTGGAAGCTAAAAAATGAGGAGCAGGAAGAAGAGCCATTCAAGATGTAATAGCCAGAGCGGGTTAGGGCAGGCAGCCCAGGACTTACACTGTGACTAATGAGAAATGATCAGAGGCTCACTTTTGCATGGCGCCAGCTTCTAGGCCTGGGCCCTGCGGGACACCTTCCAGGGCCCCCTGTTCTGGCTGTCTAGTGTGTCACAGACTGTCCCCAAACTTAAAACAACAATCATTTTACTATTGCAACAACCCGTCATTATTGTAGTAGATCATATTTCCCACATTTCTGGGGATTGGCGGGGCTCAGCTGGCGGCTCTTGCTGCAGGTCCCTCAGGTGCTGCAGTCACACGGTGGCTGTGTGTGTGGCTTATTCGTGTCTGGCAGCGGATGCTGGCTGTTGCTGGGGACCTCAGCTGAGGCTGTCAGCTGCAATGCTTACAGATGCCCCCTCCGTGTGGCCTCATAGAGTGGTGGCTGGTGCCAAGAATGTAGCTTTGGAAGTCACACGGTGTCACTACACTGCATTCCGTGCAGTAGAAGTCAGGCACCAAGACGGCTCATATTCAAGAGGAAGAGAATTAGACTCCACCTCTTCAGGGAGGGTGTAAAGAGTTTGCAGGCATGTTATAAGGCCAGCACACCAGAAGGGCCAGAGATCTTTCTGGTGGGGCCCACGGGCTGCG